GTACGTAAGTAACGTAGTAACGTAAGTAACGTAACGTAACGTAACGTAACGTAACGTAACGTAACGTAACGTAACGTAACGACGAACGACGACGACGAGAGAGAGAGAGAGAGAGAGAGAGAGAGAGAGAGAGAGTGGTAAGCGTTCATCATAGCCTGAAAGTGTGGAGTTCGGCTTGGTGGTTGGGGCCTTGTGAAGCTACAACAATGAAAAATTATAATGTTTCTAGAAATTCTTGGAATCATTTTCTGATGGATTTTAAAATTCTTGAGAGCTGATAACACAATTATCATTGTCCATACAATTTAAATTTTTTGAAGTATCAAGTAATGAAATTGTAGAATACTGCATAACTGGCATGAAACCAAGGTTTTAAAAGTGGAAAAAAGAAAAAGGAGATTATTCGCCCCCACAAATAATTGCATTTTACTAGTTAAAAAGTAGATAAACTTCATTTCAACGGTCACGATTCTGCAAGTTTTAGTAAGCTTCTGGTTATGCGAATTCTAGTATACTTTTGGTTCTAAACGTTTTCCTGATCGATACACCTTTTTTTAGTACTTCAGTAGTAGGAATAGAGCTTGAGATAAAACTTGCAAACTAATCAAGCTCTATTCCGATTCCTAATCAATACACCTTTTAAAGGATGGGGTTTCTGTGAGTAAGCCAATGCATATTACGCACACCTGCGATTCCCCTATAAAATTCATCTTTTTTATCCAAATTTTTAGTAATACATCATCTAAGCCAAGTTGATTATGAATATTAAAAAATAATGTATGGTCCACTTAAGATAGATGTTTGCGGGTCAACATCTATCTTGAAAGAAACGTACAATTGTGATATACCAAAAACCAAACCATATACCAAAACCTTATACTTCATTTGCCTGAGACACAAATGCCTACGGAATTTGTGTTCATGCTCATACTTAAAAGCTGAGGTTTATATAAGAAGCACACCTTACACTGTTCAAGTCGGCCGTATCTTTAAATTTTGCCAGATGATATAGTTTTGATTTCGGAAACCTTATGATGCCTTGTAAGACACATGATTACAGGATTTGTCTTCATGTTTATGAGTGAGATTTGTATAAGCGCACTAATAAAGTGTATCTCTAAATTTTGTTGGAAGATATAATCTAATATTGGAAACCATATAATGGCTTGAAAATCCATGTTTAACTCTCTCTATATATAGGTTTTTCTAAAGTTGCAACTTTAAACAATCCAATTACGGTGCACCTCCAAATTTTATTATAACATGTAATTTTGGTGAAAAATATCTTAGGATTATCTCAAAATTTATTTTCATATCTAATTATAAAATTTTAAAGTCCAAAAATGGTTAAAATAAAGTCGATCTATAAACTCATGAAAATCTTGAAAATTGATGGTCCAGATAATATATTGCAAGATGCATTATTTATGAGAATCATAATATTTTTTCTTTCATATTCATACATCCCGATGTCAAGATGATCAATTAG